AAATGTGTAACTACTAAAAAAAACGACTATTATATCCATAAAAACATATATATAATTATATCCGACTCGTTTTGAATTTCGTTCAAAGCTACGCGAGGGCTATCTGCACTTACAATCTCTAATTTAGCAGTGAAAGACCACCAACTATTTTAGCAGTGAACAGTGTAATTGACCATCTCATTATAACGTCTCCGTGACTGAAAGGGTGAGCATGTTTGGTGGGACGGGGATTTGAACGTGCAACCCACAGATTGCGAGTCGAACACCCTAACCACCTGGCCATATAATTATATCAAACCTTTATCTTATCTTTGTATGGAAAGAAATATTTTTACAACTTATTAGTTTCCAAAAAGAGTACTTAAAAAAACTAAATTATCCACAAATCCACTAATATATAACATACTACAGAAACAATTTATAGTTTGAATTTTTCATACTGAAATGAATTTTTTTTTTTGCTACTCATTTACTTGTATATATTTTTACAACAAAAAAAGTCTAAGATTTTCCTATATAATCTGTAAAATCTCACACACTATAGTTCGGATTCCATGTCTCTGAAAAAATAAAATTCTATATTCCAGGAAGCATTTAAAGTGTAACTAGTTTTTACAATTTTTTCGTGTTCTGCTTGTGTACCAATACAACGTATTAAACTTTTTAATAATTTTACAGGCAAAGAGAAAAACAGGCAATTAACACAAATTAATCTCATTTTAATTAACCGTTTACATAGTACATTTCTCATTTGTCTTACAAGAAACTTTAAATTAATTATCTGAAATATTAAAATATACGAATTTTCACATAACATTGAAAAAACTTGCTACCAAAACGTAAAAGAAACCCATACTCAAAGCCAATTTTTAAAACGTTAATCGTCAGATTGAAGAAACTTACTGAACACAGTCATTTAAAATAAAAAAAAGTATCACAGTGACAGATTCATTACATGAGTTTCAAAACTGTAAAGCACTTGCTATTCAAATGTCCAACAGAATATGTTATATTTTAAACATATTATTATATTCCACTAAGGGACATAAATTGAAACATTTTATGTTATGAAAAATTTAACATTTTAATTCAATGACAACCCACTCACACACATGGCTAGAGTTGAACAGCAAAAAATATTTTCTCAACGGCATGTACAAATTGTAAAAAATAATAAGATTTGTTTTCCTATTAATAAACAAGAAAATCATTAGTTTAATTAAATCATACCAAACTTAATGTTTTGGTAAAAAAAAAAAGTGCATAAGTCTCACAAGTAAAAATCAAGCCATATTTGTAACTGCTTTGCCTGAAAAATACCATAATTCAAAATAAAAAAGTCTACAAAAAAATCAATAACAAAGTATGAACCTTATAAATGCAGATAGTGGTATAACAATATAATTAATCATGTTTTATGGAAAACTGTTTCCATTTATTTGTCAAATTACTTGCATGAATGCCAATAGCATCATGTATCAAAGGGATTTTTTTTGAACAATTTAACATGTTTTCTTCACATAATCATTTTATAAATAATAAAATATTTGGAAAGTAATTCATACTAATTTTGATATTCCAGCTCATCTTAGAGCTACAACTTTAATCAAAAAATCTATGCTATACTTATTTATAGAACATACCGCAACATTAGAGAAAAGAAGTAAATATGAAATGTTTCATTAACTCCTAATACTTTTAAAACTTCATTACATATAATCAACATATCTGCTGATAGATGTTGCATTTCTGTGTATGAATAAATGAGAATGACATGCTACTTACGAAATAGTCTAAATAGTTATATCTAGCAGCTCCACCTCTAGGATGAAAATATACTTAATCACATAGTTACACTTTTTACATAAAATAACTGACTGGGTTTGAACCTTAGCTTTTTGTTGAAGTTGATCAATGCAGTATACCAATAGACTACATATTTCAGTTTCTGAGAAGTTACTGACATTAGATTTGTGGAATAACCTACATGTATTTATAAGTGCACATGCTCAGTGAAATATCTGGGTGGGAATTACATTTTACTTAACATAAATTGACTTATTTTACATAATTGAGGTGCAAGCTATTTCAAGAAAAACAAAATTAAAATGTCAAACTCACTTTAGCTGGCAACATTACATTAACATTTTATTTTACCATAATAATCAATAAGTGTTAATGTTTAATTTTGAAACTATTTGACAAATAAATAAAAATTTAGATAATACAACTCTTTTGTTTGTTTGTTTATGTTTAAGCACAAACTTCCACAATGGGCTACCTACACTGTGCCCACCACAGGTACTGAACCCAAATTTTTAGCATCCACGCCCTCAAGCTTACTGCTGAGTCACTGAAGAACACAAATAATTTAAAGTTTTACTAAAAAAAAAGTTGAAAAACGTTCACATAATTAATATAAAAACAAAATAACTGAAACTTGAATTAATGAAACAAGAAAAAACTTATTTTTGAGTAAAGACAGTTTAAAATTACAAGTTACAGCACTGGTTTGTCCAATGAGAAACATAAGCTGACCAGAAGAAGTCTCTTAAGCACTTACAATTACTAAAATAAATAAACACTTTTTATTTTCCATTTGTTAATTTTTTAATATTTCTTTACTGTTGGCATGTTGTATTATTATATTAGAAAAACAAACAATTAACAAATTCTCATATCTATGGAAACTGAATTCAGAATTTAATAATTTAAAATAATTATAATGACTGAAAATGAAACTTTTTGACATGCATTCAGTAAAACATCTTTTCATAGTAATCGTACTAAAGTCAGTGTTGAAGTCAGGGGTGTACAGGTGGGAATTTCCCCTGTGCAAAACAATCCCCCCTGGAGTACAATATTTTCCATTTTGTCGAATTTGAATTTACCCCCCTCCCAGCTTCACATTCCCCAATGTTTCCAAATATCTTTCTACAGACAAGCTAACTAAGTTTATATAGAACAAAACATATTGATTAATTCTTCAATTTCATATATTTTAAATGCATTCAATAGCTAAACGTGAAAGTACTCACTTCAAATTAGACTTTCCAAATAACTGTCACATACAAACCTTCATCAAGCTCACTACACGATCATGTAAGGCACCAAAATAAATAAAAAGGCCACCTGGATGAAAGATCTTTCAAACATTTGTGATATACTAACTGTATGGTTATGTCATCACTTCCAATGTTGAAGACTAATAGCTTAAGCCTAAAATACCTAATTACCCTCAAGGAATAGTTATATTTTTTAAGCAAAACTGATCAGCATTTTTTTTTCACAATGCTATAACATCTGCAGGATTTTCTCTTATAGTAATACACACACACTTAACGTTTTGTTCCAGAGTTATAGCAATTAAAAAAACATAGGCCTCAAAGTAGTTGCTTAACATCCTAGCTCATAGTGTCTTACACATAAAGGGTCACGAGAGACAATATCTGACTAACGAGTGCAAAATGAGCACTAATAAATACATAAATATCCATTTCATTTTAATTTTATTTACTTGTTCAATATACCTTACGAAGGTTTTGGAATTTTAATTCTATGCGGTACATTAATTTTGTTTTGAGAGAAAATACTATTCAACTTCAAAAAACTGCCTTCAACAAATAAACAGATTGCTAGTTTATATCAGCCAGTGCCTTTTCTTTTGTCAGTAAAAAGCAGAAAAAGTGTTTGTACACCTTTATTTTATATGATTAATCATGTACAATAATTTGAAACATGTATGGAATAACAAAGCTGTAAAAAAGCAAAAAGGAGCTTAAAGCTATAGTACTGGACACAAGGAAAAACAAATAGAACCCCACCATGATTTAGTATGATTTAAAAATAGTCAATGATATCCCATTTAAATATTTTAATCTGTAAAATAACTTTTACTTTAAGTATTTTCTATGCATTTACAACAAATCTCTTTTTTTCCCCCTAAAGGATGAACTTTATAATGGCATATATTTAAATAACTAGACTATCATATTTATATTTAGTCATAAACCTCAAAGTGTTACAATTCATTGCTTCATACTAAAGAGATTACTGTGATTAATACAACACAAAAACAATAAATGGTGGAAAAAACACTAACACATGATCCTAGTAAAACAAGAAAACACAAATGACCTTAACCTTAGTATCTTAAGAAGTTAAGATCTAACAGTTATACATTTCTTTTGCAAATACATTTCAGCTATGTTTTACATACCTAGATTTGAACAATGATGGACTATCAAAGTGTAACAACATAAAAAACATCAGTTGTCATGTTGAGTTTATTTTATCTTTATTAGACTTATTATCGCCTTATATATTAAACTCTTTGGACTTGAATTCAGCTGGAAAACAAAAAAAACTTCCCTTCTTTTAACATGAAAGTAATGTGAAAAACAGTACGATAAAAAGGACTTTTCAATTTATACAAATTCCAGGTTAATTAATCACATATTAACTCATACAGTTAATTAACTCAAAAAGTTACTAAATTCTCAAAATTGGTTCAGTATTTCATTCAACTAAATACCTAATAAATTCCTAAATGAAAAAAAAAATATATAAAGATATTTTTAAATAACATGGAGCCCTTTCAACAACATCAAGGACTATGTCTAGAACAATAAAATGAGCATAAACTTAAAATGTATATATGAGAAATATTTATTTATTTGAACCAAATGTTAGACACAAGTTCTTGATAATCTTTAAAAGTCTAGAAAGTACATATTAGATGTACTGAGAAGTTGTTTTGAACACAGTTAAATTTTTATATTTTATATGAACATTATAGATTTCACAGATTGGAAGTATATCGTCTTTTAATTATTCTATATGATAGTTGAAGTTAACTGTTTTTTCCAATTTAAAATATATATAGAAAAAACATCAATGCTGTATTTTAACTTTCTTGAAATATATTAAATATGATTTTTCTAATAAATTATATTTTATAGTCTTCTGATTTACTTATTAGTCCAAAAATAACTTTATATGAAAACTGAATCTAACTTTACAGTTCAATAGATATCTTATCAAAAATACTGGAAAATAAGTAAAATCTGAAAAATATTAAGCATCTAAGCTACACAAACAGATATTTAAAACTGTTTTAGTCTATCAATTCACAAGAAAATGGTGTTAATATTTACAAAAATGTAAGTCCACAAAGTATAATAGCTTTTACTGACTTTGTTGTCAACATTTTTCAAGAATGCAAAATGCTGAAAACAAGTTTTTCAACTCTTGCTGCCCTAGGGTTATTTACAGTTTTAGTTCCCGTTTATTAGTTATTATATTTTTTTCTTCTTTTAATATAACAGGTCTTTCCATAGCATATTTGCTACGAATATTCTACACCTTATGCTGTAAATATGTATATCATAACTTATTATCCAGTCAAAATATGTTTAATATTTAGCAGTTTCTCTAAATCTATTGTTTCATTTCTTTATATATAAGAATGTTCAATGCTAACATTCTGGACTAAACTTTTAGCCCACTAAATTCTCATGTTTGCTGAGTTAGTGGTATTCACCATGTACAACTGAAAAACAAAACAGATACAGAATTAGACTGACTACATACAATCACAGCTATACAGGTGATATTACTGATAAAGTTATAAAGAGGTGGAGTCAAAATTTCTACTGAAAATGTAGCAAATACTCCATTGTGGTCCCTCTTGGTGTCGTGTGTTTTACCCTAATGTCGACAGTAGTTTTTGGATCAAACCTAGAAAATACCTCTAAGTTATTTATTTGTTTTACATTATAAGTTTCTGAAGAAATAAATGTTTCCACACACACAAAGCAAAAAAATGGAGAAGGCATTAAAATAAATCAAGTATCGAAACTTGGGATCCACATCTCCTTGTCTGTACCAAATAATCTGAGGAAGAAAAAATAAAGAAATAATTTTTCAAGTTCTAATATGTGTATTATTGAGTTGTTTTTAGTCCAGTGATAAACAGTTATAGAAAAACACAACACTTGAAACATAAAATGCTTCCATGTGCCCTAGGTTTAGAAGATAAATAGCATTAAAGTCAATTGTATGAAAAAAAAAAAGTATATTATTTCACTCACAGTTTTCAAATGCCATATTAAAGCAATCTATACAGTAGCACTGCAAATGTACTGCAGCTAGCAGATTTTTGTAAGGTCTGTGTTTTAGTTTTCATGACAAGGGATTTTTGTAACCATAGCGGGAGAACAAAAAATCATTTTCATGGCTATTTCCCAAACATGGTTCATAAACGTGGCTGCTGTGGTATCAGTGCTGCAAAACTTATCTCTGAAATATACATAAATACTCCTCTTTTTCTGTGTGTTTAAACTCATGTAAAATTTGAACTACAAACAACATTGGTGAATCTTAAAGTTTGTTTGTTGTTTTATTTGACTTGTTTAAAATGTTTTCATTATTGCAGTTCAATATATGTGATATCTAATTGAAAACTTTAACTTGAACCTTATTGTGTGAACCAGAATTGAAAGCTATTATATTTTTCTATGCAAATTTATTCCTTTTAATTTCTTATACTGAAGCCATTTTAAATGTTTTTGAAGAATCAAACATAATTATTTCACAGGGAATCTCTACTCATCTTAGATTAATAAAGCTAGGAATAAGCAACAAACTGGTGGTGTCATTACAGTGATAACAAGAGATGTGTCCAATGTCCATATTCAAATTTTACAGAAGACATTCTTGAAGTTCTACACAGAATTTATTTTAATTTCAAAAATTCATCTTAGTTTGTTTCATTCTTTACACAATGTCATAGTTGACAAATAGTTCAAAGATAGGTCACTTGATGCTAAAAGGATGTATGACTCACATGAACTTCAGGAAGCTAGTATTCAACTGCAATAAACCCCTTAAAAACATCATTTAATTGAAATTACAGTGTTCACATAGTTACATTTATACTGAAGTATTAACTCTCTTGCCCTGGGTATCCTTTACTGCGCATGACACAAGGTTTTAGTGTCTTGCATTCAAAATTTTATTAAACTACTTTTTGTTTATGTT